GAATCATGGCCAGCAGTAGCCTATACATGCACATATGATGCTTGTGAAAATCAACTGCTATCGAACTCCACAGAGTCTGAGTCCTCCTATTGTAGCAAATACACATTTGTTAAAAAACAGAACAAAACAACAAAAAAGTCAAAGTAAACATTTACAAGTATTGGTTCTTTCTGAACCGCATGGCATCTCTTCATATCTAATATTGTCCTCCCCCGTTTTGCCTTCTTGCTCCTCTGACACTTTACTGCTTATTAGTTTAGACGTAGTTTAAATAGTGTCAGTTTAAGTGTCTCCTGACAGAGCTTCTACCAGTGCTCTAAGAATCCTTAGCTTAAAACAGAAGCTGTCGTTGCTAAGGCGTGCTAGCTGGATATTAGTATCTAGTAGCTCATGAGGGATTAAGGTGGCTAAAAAAACATCTTGCTTGCTTTAGTTTCTTCAAACCAAAATGTAAGGTACTCATTCACAACTAGACTCTCTGGGACAGCTCTCAGCATGCCTCTGCTAAAAAAATTTAAGCAACACTTCTATAAAAACATGAGCAGCTAGGTGCCTTTACCCTTCTACCAGAACAAAGCAAAGGCTGATCTAAACATTAACCATGACTGATGAATGTATCTGGGGCAAAAAATGTTGCTTTTTCATCAGTAGGAACTGATCTGACAGCAAATAACTTCTTAGAAAATCTTACTGCTCTTACATCATTATACCGTGAAGACTACCACAACACTTTTACTAAACAACCTACCATGACCTTTGTAAGTGTTTTGGTCTCGTTTAATTTTGACTGAATGGGTCTTGTCCTTCTTTCTGTTAAAAGACTGTACAGTCCTGTAACACAAATATAATATCATAGCTTGGTCATAGAAACAATACACTTATTTTCATTCCACAGCTTTATTCCTTGGGATGTCGTTGTTCAGTGGTTTCCTTACAGCAGAACATTATTTTAGAAAATTTAAATTAACATTTGTGTGTTAGGCCTAGGTGTCTCTACAAGCCATTTCAAATGTGTCTCTATAGAAGCATTGTTATTTCCTCTACCTAAGCCTATGAGAAAACTAAACTCACTAGTTAGTCTTTTTCTTTCAAAGATGTTAAATCACTTACTGTGATACAGGCTTTCCTGAACCAGAGTATTTCCTAAAAGAACATCCTGGGTGCAATGCCATTTCAAAAAGGGTTAGTAATCCCAGAGATGGAATTGTTGGAATTTTATTCCCTTCATCTTCTTGAATAAAAGCCTTCACTGTAAAACCAGCCTTCAACAGGAGAGTTGGTGAGTCAGGCTATCAACCATGAATAAACTACTGACCGTGGGGAGATGACTCTGACTGATTAGGCTTCATTTTGCAGCAATGGAAGGATTTAGGCAGAAAAGACATTTTCACACAGCTCCAATAATGCTTCTGCAGGAAGTGGCATGTAGCTTAAAAAAAACTCCACACCAGGCATTTAGCAGTGATCTCAACATATTTGTGCCTGAATAGTGCTTACATTTTTCAAGGGGTATTACTTTCACATTTTTTTCATACAAAGCTGTTACAAGTAAATTTACAGAGCATAGAAACATAGCAAATTGTTCCAGATAATCTTTTCATAGTTTTACATTCTCCTAGTTTATTCCTTAGACTAATGTTTTCACAGCTGTGCAATCATGGTGGGGTGTTTCTGTAAGACTTGATGGAATTCTGTTTTTATTGCCATTACCTTCGCACAGCTTGCATTTAAAGTTATATGTACACAGCCTGGGTATCCAGACTAATTTTAAAACAAGTAGCCTAGGTAACGATAGCAGTGTAACAACACATCTTCAGAGCTCGGTGCAGGCAAACTGAGGAGCATTTAATCAACTTCTGGTACTGATTTTGGAGCCTACACTGGCTACACCTATAGCAGGATATGATCTATTCAGTTTAAGAGTAACGTGGCCACACGTCTGTCCATGCCTGCAGTTGCATTTGCTTCATGTATACTTCATATGAGTTCTTCATTTCCAAAGGCCAGAGGAATTCTTAATTTCACCGTCAGATTTAACTCAGAGTGGGATCTGTCTGCTTTAGGGAGCCGAATGATGTTTCAGGCTGAGCTAATGCTCCTCAGTGCTGTTCATGAATAGTGGAGTGAAAAAGGCTGTTCCAAAGGTCAGTGCATCTCATACTGGAGACAATGTCTCAGTGAAGTCAGAGGTTTCTTTGTTGTAGGTGTGCCTGTTCCTCTCCACTGACTATAAAGGAAGTCTAGCATGACGAGCAGATACGGATGTCTGAGTTTGAGATGTTTGAAGTGAGATGTATCACACAAAGTGTCTGTAAGACAGGTCCATATCTGCTGTTCACATTACTTACCATGCCGCTTGGCTTCATAAAGCAGCTTATGCAAAGTATCTGTTTGCATCCAAATCATTATATTTTCTTTAGTGGACACTAAGGGAAAGTCTAATCTGTCCAGAATTCAACCTAATTAAAACTTAAAGAAGCTTATTGAATATATTCACCGAAAATATTCCTCTTTAAAGTATACAGCTTTGGTGGGTTGACCCAGGCTGGATGCCTTGTGCCTACCTAAGCCACTTTGTAACTCCCATTCTCACCTGGACAGGGGAGAGAAAATATAACAAAAGCCTCATGGATCGAGATAAGGACACAGAGAGATCACTCAGCAGTTACCATCATGGACAAAAGAGACTTGACTTCAGGGAAATTAGTTTAATTTATTACCAAACAAATCAGAGTAGGCCAATAAGAAATGAAACCAAATCTTAAAAAACCACCTTCCCCCCACCCCTCCCTTCTTACTCGGCTCAGCTTTGCTCCTGATTTTCTTTTAACTCCTCCCCACCAGTGGCCCAGGGCGATGGGGAATGGGGGCTGTGGTCAGTTCATCATATGTTGTTTCTGCTTCTCCTTCCTCCTCAGTGGGAGGACTCTTCACACTCTTCCCCTGCTGCAGCATGGGGTCCCTCCCACAAAGATAGTCCTCCATGAACTTCTCCAATGTGAGTCCTTCCCACGGGCTGCTGTTCTTCATGAAGTGCTTCAGCGTGGGTCCTTTCCATGGGGTGCAGTCCTTCAGGTGCAGACTAATCCAGCATGGGTCCCCCACAGGGTCACATGTCCTGTCAGCAAGGACTCCAGCATAGGCTCCTCTCTCTCCATGGGTCCACAGGTCCTGCCAGGACCCTGCTGTAGCACAGGCTTCCCACAGGGTCACAGCCTCCTTTGGGCACCCACATGCTCCAGCGTTGGGTCCTCCATGAGCTGCAGGTGAATATCTGCTCCACTGTTAACCTCCATGGGCTGGAAGGGGGCATCCTGCCTCACCATAGTCTTCACCTTTGGAGCACCTCCTCCCCCTCCTTCTTGCCTGACTTTGGTGTCTGCAGAGCTATTTCTCTCACATATTCTCACTCCTCTCTCTGGCTGCAGTTACTCCTGCACAGTAACTTTTTCACCTTCTTAAATACTTTATCACAGAGGGGAAACCACTGTTGCTGATGGGCTTGGCCTTGGCCAGCAGCGGGTCTGTCTTGGAGGTGGCTGGTGTTGGCTTTGTCAGACATAGGGGAAGCTTCTAGCAGCTTCTCACAGAAGCCACCCCTGTAGCCTCACCACTACCAAAAACTTGCCTCGCAGACCCAATACAACAGACTTACGTGTTCTGTAAAGTTGGACTGGATTTTTTTTTTGTTTCACCAAATAGATTACAATCTTTTTTTAAGTATTCACTGAAGAAAATACGAAGGTTCACAAATTTTCCATGCCAACTTTCAAGTGATCTTTCCATGATACAGAACCAGGAGGAGGTAACTTACAGCAGGTTTTGGTCGACTGTTTAGATTAGCAAATATATTTTGGGAAAAAATCTCACACAGGAGGTAGTATGTTCACTTAAGAATGTCCTTCCTGGAGTTCATAGCACGTGTACCAAGGAAGTGAATTTGCCTGTATCCCTTAATCCATTAAAAAAAAATAAAAATTGTGAGCTTTAATATTTGTTGAGGATCATGTTTTAAATTGTGCCCTATTTTTGTTGGCAATACGTGTAATGGTATCTGTGGTGTGACAAGATTTCTGTGTCAAGGCCTCGTACTTCATCTGCTCTTGCATTACAGGAAATGTTTTCCTCGCTATCTTTATGAACTGATGGGTGGTGGCTGTTTAATTTTATGGAAGGATACGAAGTTTCATGAGGGAACCTCATTGAGTCAATATGATTCTGAAGTGGTAAAGCAAAAGCCAAAAGGGCAATGCTCCCAGTAGGTTCAGATTATGCCATGCTCTATGGCTCCATTAT